GTTCTGATGAAGGCGGTTACGGAGGCGCGGGACCCGAAAGGCAAGGCTCGCTGCTTAAAGATGGATGCTTTGCCCACGCGCGGGTCGTGTATGACGAAGTAGCCATCTCTAGCATAAGCAGCATCACTGAGCGGCAACTGCTTGTAGGCTGTTTTCAGATCCCACGTCTTTGCTGCCATGGAAGCCTGCTGCAATCTTTTCCGAGCACGTGCCAGCCAGGCCGATGCCATTCCAGCCACCACATCTAGCGTATGCACGGTGACTTGCTCAGTCTGGGTGACAGCTGCATTCACCCGCGATGCACGATAGTTGTCAATCGGGCGAACCTTAGGCACACCATCGACTTCGCCCTGGATCACACCGAATCGTCGCGTCAAGGTGGCACCCTGAGGCATGTCTGAAGCAGCGACCGGGCCTTCCACAAACCCAGCCTCAACTTCTTTCAAAGTCGCCGCAAGCACCCCCGCATCTATGACCGGATCGTCAGCCGGCCCCACAGTAGCGAGGGTGGCGCTGCAAGCACGGGATGCACCACTACGCAAGTCAGCTTCAAGCATGGACGCAGGCCTAAACTTCTTTTTAAAGAAACCACTTTCGGGCAGACGTCCCACCAGATCAAACCCGTTTACCAAGTCGTCGACCAGGTTCAGGTCAGTGTGGCCGGCTTCTTCAAGCAGCGCCTTAAACAAAAGCAAGCGTTTCTGCGACAAGATGATGCGCCTGTTCTCGGACATGCCCGCTTTGAGCAAGTCCTCCTCGGCAACAAGATCGTTTGCCTTTGCGATCCACTTGCGGATAACTTCTGTTCTGTGCTGACCCAGAGCTTGCTCGCTCATCCCGAAGTTCTTGTTGATTGCAGCCTGCAGCTCATCTGGCAACAAGTTGGAAAGGCTGCTGGGATGCTCCGCACGGCAAGCCTCGGCAACAAACTCTTCAGGAGACCACCGAACACCACACTCAAGTGAAAACTGGACTGGTTCAACACACTGCTTCGCGACGGGCTGGGTGGAGAGCACAAATCCTAGTTCATCAAGAATGCCACGGTCCGACGAGTCAAGCTTCTCCATGCTCCTCGGCATGTAAGCAACGAGCACAGCTCGATCACCTTCCCACCTCTCGGTGGCATGCAAGCACTGCGGGCGGAAGTGGATCGCCCCTTTCTTGAAATCAAGTACTGTGCCCATCACCTTGTTGCCCTGAACCATTTTTGCAGCATCACCATCATCGTCAGCCACCCACAAGCCTCCTTTGGTGAAAGTTGACAAGGCCATGACAAGATTGCTTGATGAAGGCTCGTTGTGTGAATCGACGTGAGGATCCGAACACAAGTTCAAGGTGAAGGCCAGAGCACCAAAGGGGTGCCACGGCGCACGCTCTCTGACATACCTGCATGCAAGGGCAGTTGTCCAGGGAAAAGAGGTGGTTGTGTTCCGCACCCCAACCATGGGCCCATGCACGTAACTTCCCGTGAACCATTGATGCGACTCTGATGTGGCACAGCCTCTGGACCTGCGGGGAGTGACATCAGGCGTCAACACAAGCACACCCAACAGAGCCTCCGCAGACAATTCCCCAGCAGGGCAAGCGGCCATGGTCTCGAAGGCTAATCGCTCACACTCAGGTGCATC